CTATGCACCTCTGACGATTGCATATCAGAGACTTTGCTATTTTTAGGTATTAATTTTTTGGCTGGTGTGTTTTTAAGAGTTTTAGTTGTGTTTTTTACCAATGTTTATTGCTTTAAATTTTGATAACTTTTTAAAGATTAGTTCTAAAATACTTGTTTGAATTTTGCTATTTATCTGTATTAAAATTTTTGTTCTAGTTGCCAATTCTTGATTTTCTAATTTTTATTAGTGTTTTGTCGTAGATCTGTTATGCCATGTTCGATTTCAGGACACAGGTTTGCTTGTTTGCTGTTAATTATGGGTAAGTTTTATTTATTTTAATAGGGTAAGTTTTATTTATTTAAATATCAAGGTTTCGGAAAATTTTGAATATCGGGTTATCTGGTGACTCATTTGCAACTACTTTTATTATGTTCATCTATAATATTCTCATAATATTTAGATAACATAGGTCTTAATTGTTTTCTTTTTAGTGAGCGCCTTTGTGCTGTTTGTTTTGCGAAATGAGTTTTTGTTTCCAAATAGTCCAATTTGGCCATCAAATTGTTATCTATTTGTTTGTTTTCTGTAAATTTTGAATTTTTTATTTTTGTTGTTATTTTGTGTTCTAGATTTAAAGCCAAATTTTTGCAGTTTTTAAATTCAAATTTCAAAGTTATTATTATGTTGCTAATATTTTCTTTTTCTGTTACAGATTTACAGCGACGGACGAGGCAGTTCAAGACCGGGATAGTTGTGAGCTGGATGGAGTTATCGCCCGGGGCAACCTTAGCAGTACGCCACTGTGGATCTGGCCAACGCGTCCCACCGCCTGCGCACTGGGCAGTCATTGCTGAACGCATTGTGCTGGACGTGCTCCGCTTTGGCTCGCTGGCAGTTCCGGCACCCAGCGAGCTTCTCGGCGCAGTCGGTGCTCAGGTGTGGCCCTCCACAGTGGCTGCAGACATCCGCGGGCTCCGTGCAGAATCGCTTGCTGTGGCCGTAACCCAGACACTTGGTGCACTGCACCAGCGGTGACTGGTCGGCCACTCGGATGTGCTGCAAGTCGATGTGCACGGTTCCCACCTCAGTCGCTCTCTGCCAGATTGCCGGCGATACGCTCACAACTATATGGTGGGTATGGGGGTTTCTGGCCTTCTTTTTATAGCGTATCTGGACGCGGTCCTCCCCTTCGCGGAGTTCATGAAAAATGCCCCTATTCTGATTTCTCAGAGCCTTCAGGACGTCTTCGTCGCTGTTGAGCAACAAGACGTCCTTCAGGACTAGGAGCGGGTCTTTATTTTTCATGTCCTCCGCGACTAGGAGGCCCCCGTCTTCAATTCTTGCCTTCACCTTCCTCCTTTCCTCCTCCGAGCTACACCCCATTATGATCTTCTGATCCTTGGCCTTTCTAATCTTATCAACTTTCACCCATCCCTCCTTTGCGTTGACGGCGTCCCTGACCTTCCGCAGCACCTCCTCCCCTGTCTCCATCGCGTCCTTGGACGTGACCACGATGGAGTGCAGGGCCGACCTAACAGGCAGGCGCTGCTGTCCGGGCACGGACGCCGCGACGCTGGCATAGGTAGGTTGCCCACTATTTGCTCTATGTTTCTCTGCCTCTTCCTTAATCTCATCCAGTTTCTTGCTATTCTCCAGCAGGAGTTTCCGGTTTACCCTGATTTCAGCCAGTATTCTGTCCTCCTCCTCTCTACTGTCCCTTTCCCTATCCGCTTCCTTCTCTTTTACAGGTTCGGGCTCGGCGACCTTCTTTGCCGGAGCCTTCCCCTTCCTCTCCAACTCTGCCTCTTTCACCAGCTGGTAT